TGTGGTGTCCCTAGCGTGTATTGTTCCTTAATCTTTGCTCTGTCCAAATGCAGTGCCTGCCATAAAACGTTCCACACTGTGATTCTCCTACTGCGTGCAGAAGAAAAAGCTGCAGTCTTTGGGTGTTTTAACCCAAGTTGTATCCACTCTGAGCTCCTCGCTTTCTTCTGAAAGATCTTTGTTGTAAACTCTCCAACTGTGATTTGAACTGCTGCTTCTTTCAGCAAGCAATAATTGAATATTCAATATACGTTGCATCACACGATCTCTGGGTGTCCATTCCAAGCCAGATGACTTTGTGATTTGCTGTAGGTTTGGCATGTGTGACTCAGGCTTTGTTCACATTTAGCTAACTGCAAGCTATCTATTTATGTCTGTTTTCAGTTAGTTGAGCTGTAGTCCTCGCTGTCCCTGGCAGCACCCACTGTTATCTGTTGTAATACAGCTCCTAGTACATGCATCCAATAAATGCTGGTATTTCAGAAGTGAAGGCAGTGTATTTCTGAATGGCGTTCTGTGCAAAGCTATAGCTTGGTGTGAAGAGCTTGATTCTGAAGGATTCTTGCAAGCTTGTAACTTACTAGCCCTGGCCATTGAGGTTTTGATAATTCCCTTCTAGTGGATTTGAGCTACGTGTTGAAGAACTCATTCATGTGTCCATTCATGTGGTCTCCCCGAGGGATCTTTTTTCTCCTTTTTCCTTTATTTATTACTGTGTCCAAAAGTGTGTGGCTTCTTGAAGGTGGAGAAGTGGTCTTGCTTTCTTTGCTAGTAGAAAATGATTGCTATTAAGATGTTGCTATTCTCAGCGGGTATTTGGTTTAGCACTAACAGCACTTTTCTTCCAAAGCACAGTTTTGTGATGATGGTAAAGGATTGGATAAGGATTGGATCTTGTATTTGTTCTTCTATCCCTTTCTCTGTAGGAGTTTTGGCTGTTGGGCTTATCAGCGAGGCGCTGGATGAAGGAGACACCAGAAAAGCTCTGCAAGCCTTATACAGATTCCTGCAGCAAAACTGGAGGGTGTAACCCCACAGGTAGGTCAGCATTATCAGGGCACACTGCTTCGGGCTAAGAGAGAGAAAGCACAGGTGGGTGTAGTTAAAAGTACCTCTCAAGAAGCCTTTGCATCTGTGTACTGAGGGCATTCCTGACGTTGGGAGAAAAGCTGGGAAACAGATCTGGAAATGAAAGGGTGAACGCTGCATGCTATCAGCTGATGTTACCTGGCCAGTTTGGATCTGTCTGTATGAAGGAAAGAGAGATGCAGGCATAACACGTGAATCTTGGTGAACTACAGAGATGGGCTTCAAGATATGAACTGCTGGAGATGGATTGCTCTAGCTAATTGTACGTCCAGAGTGGCAGACGTACCTTCTTTTTGGAGATATGAGGAGATGTGTTCAGTGTCATTTGTTTTTATAAGAAGGCAGTGTTTATCCTAATAGCTGTGAATTTCCAAATGCAAGTCTCGTTCAGTCTCCATTTTTTAGTGCTATTTGTTAAATGTATCCATAGGTGTAGTTACATCAAGCAAAAATGAGGTTTGAGAAATAGGAAAAAAAACTTGTTAGGTGATGAATTTGTTCAGAAGGAGGGGAAAACAGAAAACAAAATATATGCTTCTAGCAAGATGTGTATGAATGCCTATCACTCGCTAGGTGACGCTGCAGATGCTATGCATTTTGTGCATGGTGGTTGTCTGTTGTGGTAGCCCAGGACTTCTCCTGACTTAGATGGAGTTGCCTCTTTGTGTAACTGGTCTGTATGTACAGGTGAAAATGGAGAGAGGAAGAATGATCTCACCTTACTGGCTTAGGAAGGAAGATGAAACACTGTATGGGTGGTGTTTGGTTGCCCTGCCTCGGGCAGGGGGTTGGAGATTCGTGATCCTTGAGGTCCCTTCCAACCCTGTGATTCTGTGGTGTACATGCTACTGATTTTTTTTTTTTAACAGATGAGTGGGATGCTATTTTATTTCCTTATGCTTACACAGAAGTAGCAGATGTGCTTCCTTTCAGTTGCCTACGCGTGTTTAATTTCTTTTTGTACTATCTTTTCAGTTGTGGAGCTCATTGTTCTAATTCCAGCAGGGATTTTAGCATAGAGACTGAGATGATACTGTGTTCAACATGGGTGTTTTTTAGTATGTTTGTTTGCTTTGTTTTTTTTGACTAAGTGTAAACCTTCACGATGGCAGTGTCCGAAAACTGCGCTGGTGATGAAGATCACTGAGCAGCTTCCTCAGAGGCCCTGAAAGGGTTCTTGTTCCTCAGGAACCCATTTTGTGCTGAAGCATTTCCTCCTACTGAGTGAGAATGAAATAAGGAGTTGTTCTTGGTGTGCACGTAAGCTTCTGCCAGGCTGGATTGGTGACTTCAGTTGATGTGAAATTACCTCATTGAGGCATATGTTCAATGTGGGGCTCCTCCCTGCAACGTGGCAGCAATTTCAGCGATGGTGAGATCGTGGTACAGACCAGCACTGTGGGTAGAACAGTTGTGTCCTGAGTCAACGTGCTTACTAGCTGGTGACTTGTGTAGCTTGGGACTGAGAGGGATTGCAGTTCAGCACAAGGCAGGGGATCTGGCGTATGATGCGATTTCTCACGTGATGAGCAGTGAGAGAAGTGTTAACCCTGCAGTGTGTGACAGCGCGTGTCCCTGCTGGGGGACTGTGACAGTAAATGCACGGGAAAGATCAGACGGCTTTGACAGTCCTGGGATTGATGACTGTGCTGGTAGAGATGGCAGTGCAAGAGTTTGTTCTTCTAAGTCTGCCACCCTTCCCAACAGGAATTTCTACATTGCTGAAGCAGTCATGGGACTCCTTGGACATTCCGATAAGACTTGTTAAAGGGATGTAGGTTTCAATCCAAAGCAGTGGTAATGTGGAGGGTATGTAAGGAAATGTCAATTGTCAGTCCTGCCACAGAACTCTTCATGCTGGAATATAGTGGCTCTTTGTGCAGGGGGATTATTAATCCGTGTCAGAAGTCAATGTTTCCTGTGTCCTGTTTGCACATCAGGGGTTGTTGGAGGGATGGCCGTTGCTTCTTCAGATCTCCTTCCATAGTAACCCCCAGGAAGCAACAGTGGGGGTGGAGGAGCTGTGCTTGGCAGCTGCTGGACTATTGTTCATTATGTGTATTTTGGGGTTTGCTAAACACTTGTCTCTTGGACAATTTCTGCGTGTAACATTATTTAATGAGTTTCTTCAGCCAAAACATAAGATACGGTGTGATCAGTACTCCACAGCAAATGGTCTGTTAATAGAGAGACTTGAGAGATGCTTTTACTGTTGTACATTTGTATTTACCCCCAGTACATGCAGTGCTTTTTGATTTGCTGGTACAGAAATCTGCAAAGCTTTGTGGACGGGACAAGAGCAGCCTGCTGTTGTGTTAGTTCCCCCTCGGTTTTTGGTTGCTGCTCCTGTATGTGCATTTCCACTTCATGAAGTTTCCCTGAACAACTCCTTGCAGCCTGGTACTGGGAAAGGACTCCTGTTAGTCTCTGTTTGTGTCCACCTCAGCAGAACAAAGCTTTTCAGGAAAAGTGCTAGGAGTGCTGGTAGGCAGACAGCCAGGTGGCTGTGAGTGGGCAGTGTGCTCGTGCTGCCTGGAAGGCTTCAGTAGAGAGGTGATCCTTGCACTTGGCACTGGTGAGGCTGCTCGTGTACTGTGTCCAGTTCTGCCCTGCCCCCCCAGACAGCAGACATGAGTGTACTGGAGATAGGCCAGCGTAGGGCCACTGAGGTGCCTGAGGGACTGGAACAGCTCTCCAGAGAGGAAAGCTGAGGGGGAGGAGACTCTTTAGTCTAGAGATGAGAGGGCTTGGAGGGAATCTCTTCAGTGTATGTGAAAGCTGGAAGTGAGGATGCAGTTGAGGACAAGAGGCATTGAGTACAAACTGGGGTTCGAGAGGTTCCATCTAAACGTCAGGCAGCACTTTGCAGTGGAGGTAACTGAGCAGTAGCGGAGGTCGACCAGAGAGGGACTGGAGTCTTTTCTTTGGAGTTGTTCAGAAGCCATCTGGATCTGGTCTGTCCTGGATAATGTGCTCTCGGTGTCCCTGCTGGAGCAAGGGGTTTGTACCAGCTGAGCTCAGAGGTCCCTTTCCATCTTAAATTGTTCCGTGATTTTCTTTTTTGGGCTCCTTGGAAAGGCACGTCCTATTGGCAGATACAGCTTTAGGACTGAGCAGTGCAGATTGCTTGGCGTTGGGATGCCTTGATGTTTGTTGGAGTGACACCACTGCTGGAACTCTTGGTGGGAGTTCCTTGTCCTGAGATGAGTTTTGGCCTGGTAATGCTGTAGTTGCTTCTGCTAGTAACAAATGTCCATTATGGCCTTGTGTTGAAATTGATTAGAAAGATACTGAAGTGCTTCCTGTATCCCTTGAAACTGCAATTGCTCAGAGGTGGTGGTTTTGTTTTGCACAACCAGTGACGCTCTTTTCCTCATGCTGCGAATGCTTTCCTCATCATATTCTCTTTAGGACACTCAGGATGAAACAGCTGTGCCTTGGCTCAAGCAAGAAATGTACACATGCAAAGGAAATTAAAATACAAGTGTTTGCTTCAGGTAGGTGTAGAAGTTTTTTCTTTCCAGAATGAATGTCACAGCCTTTAAACTTCAATTCTTTAAATCTTTTTGGAAGGATATGTCATTTCAGTTGTGCTTGTGACTGTGTTACATCCTAGGCAGAGATACCTATTGAATCTCTGTCCAAGTGTTTGACATTAGCAAGATCACTGTGTCTGTCTGTGGTTGGGTAGTCAACCCAATAGAGGATGTTCATGTGCACAGTTGTGGTGCATCTTAGCTTTCATTTGTGTTGTACTGTTGCCTGAATTCTATGAAGTAATTCTCAAAGTACTTTCTTTTTTTTTTTTTTTTTTTTTGCACTAAGTGCAGATAACAACACAAATCAGTGCAGTTGGCAGGTGGACTGTGCCCAAGAACATTTGGTCAAAAGTAGGATTAAAGTCTGTTTCTTTGAGCCTGAATAAGATCTTCAGATACCCTTCTACCTCTGTGTGTGCGAACAGACATTTGCTCAGTGCTGAAAATGACTGTATCTCGTGTTTACTGCTTCGGTGAGATACCTGTGGTTGATTTTGTACTGTGTTTGCAACAGAGTTCTGGAGTAGCCCTGGGTTTGCTCTTTCCTCATCTTGTTCTTGTTGATAACCTGTTCTGTGTTCAGGTTGCTATTCTTGCTAGGAACGGTGCAGTCACTGGAAAGGTGCTTTTTGAGTCAGTTGTCTGCTGTAGCAGGGCTCTGCAAGAAGAAGCTGCCTGGACTACAGCTGTTGTCAGAGTACAGCTGAGTGAATGGAGAAAAGGTTGTAGAGAAATACTGTTGATAAATCAGCACCATGGTAGGACTAAGAGCACAAAAAAAAGCGCTGTCAGACACTGTGCCATACACAGATGCACACTGTACTGAAAAGATTGTTGTACACCAAGTTGTCTTTTTTTAATCAGTATTTTTATGCATAAATACAGGAAGGTATTTGTGTACACTCGCACAGTGCCTTGCTCTCTGAAGTTTGTTGTGAGCCACTGAGCTCCTGACTGCGCAGGTAACCTGCCCTCTCCTGTTGTTGAAGTTTCCTTAGGCATTCTGGCCGTGAATGAAGCAGTCGGTCACGGAGATACCAGCCCTACCCTGAGTGCCTTGTGCTCACCAGATGTGGGGCTGTACGGAGTCGCTGCAGAGTGTGCAGAGACATACCAGCGAGAGTTGGCAGAAGTCGAAAGGAGAAAAGTGGCCACAGGTGAACCCCAATAGCTACCTGCTAGTGCAGTAAATTCAAGATGATTGCCAGTAGAATGGAAAGCAGAGGGGGAGCAATGTGAGGAGCAGTCTTGCGTTCTGGGTATCTTGTTAGAATCTCATGTTATAGGAAATTGAGGCTGCCTTGTAAACTGAAGTCTTTGTTAACGGAAAGAAAAAAAAGGTAGGAAGGAAATGAAAAAGGTAGCAGTGAAATATTCCCCACTTGTAGAATATATTGTGCTTAGGTAGTTCTTGCGGTGGTTCATTGGAATCTGCGGCGTTCCTTCTATTGCTTGGAGGAAGGGCCCTCTCCATGCATTTCCTTCCTGTAGTATTTGTATGTGAGGAAGATAGATAGGTGTTTGCTTTCAACATAGCAGCATTTCTGCTTTCAGGAGGCAGTGGCAGTGAACGGGTGAAACACTGGGTGAGAGGAGGCTGTCATCATTATCATAACGTGAGGACCAGAGAGGGAGGATGGGATGAGCCGACAGAATTTGTGCAGAATGACACACAGCTGTCACGGGAGGAGATGCAGGTAAAGTACGTGCTCTTTTCCTCTGAAGTTGAAGTTGCCCCTATTTCAGGCCTTATTGCAACTTTGAGATGTAATGTTTCACCTCAGTAGTGATGTTAGCAAGCTTTGTATCTTATTTCCCTGTTCGTTGTCTACTTTGCACGTCAGCACCTCTTTGTCCTATTGTGGAGAATGTGCACACCTTGATCACCAGAACAAGACGGTGGTGTTGCTGCTCACCGAAAAGCAACTTGTAAGTTTCTCTTGAGCAGAATACAGAAGCCGCTGTGTAACATGTCATTTTTGCATCTCCCTTTTCTCTTCCTGGCTCTTCTTCCTACCATAACACTAATCTAGAGCACTGTATCTGGAGTCACGGCAGCATACGAGCGAGAGCAGTTGTGGCTGGCCAAAGAGAACCTGATGGTGAAGCTTCAGGCACGTTGTCGAGGCTGTCTTGTCTGTCAGGAATTCAACTCCAGAATGAGGTTTTTGAAGAAGCAAGTTCCAGCCATCACTTGCATGCAGGTATGAAATCCCCTAATTCTGTTTGAAGCTTGTACTTGTCAGTTGCTCTCCACACGCACGCTTACTGACTCGTTTTGTTCAAGTCAAGCAGTTGCCATGCACAATTATCTTCATTATCTTCTCCCTGGGAATCACTATGTATAAATTACTTCTCTCCCTCTTCCCATTAGTCCGTGGGTTTGGAGAATTGAAGATGGCCTTGAGAATTGTGCAATGGATGGTGCTTTTGGTTGTTTAGTTTTAGTCATTTGTTCTCTAGCTGTGTTTTGTCCTTGTTGGGGGTGCTGCTAAGTCCCTCACAACGACAGCTGGTGGTGGAAGAAATAGTTAAGGCTGCACTGCATATCTCTTACGGCATGTCTTGTAAGATGAGCATGTCTCTGTTACATTTTATTCAGCCAAAGGGAAGTGGAAACTGAGCAGCAGAAAGAAGCATCGAATAGTAAATTACTGCTCTTCACTTTGAAAAGTCGCCTTTTTTCTTGTGTGTGTTTTCAGTCCCAGTGGCGTGGCTATAAACAGAGGAAGGCATATCAAATCCGTTCGGATTACTGACGAGCACACAAGGACCAAGAAGTGAAGGTAGCAAATGCTATGGTTTTTTTTTTTTTTTTTTTTTTTTTTTTTTTTTTCTTCAACATTTTTGGTAGCAATATTTGTGGAGAAGACTTTTATCTGACCTGCTTTGGGATTCTTTCCTGTAGATTCAGTCACTGGCCAGGATGTATCAAGGCAGAAGGCGTTACAGAGATCACCTGCAATATTTCAGAGACAACGTAAGAGATTGTGAAATGAATTCAGTATCTGACACTTTTTTTTTTTTACTCTGCCCTTAACAAGTTTAAGTGGCTTTTCCACTTAAGTGGGTTTTTTTTTCATTCTAGATAAATGACGTTATAAAAACTCAAGCTTTTATCCGAGGAAACAAAGCAGGAGAAGACTACAAAACCCTCAGTAAGTGTGGCCAAAAGAATAAAGCTAATATGCTTTGAATCTCTATTTGCAGAAAAATACTGTTAGTGAGATCTGCAACAGGAAGAGAGCTATGAAAATCAGTTGGGGTGAAGTGGTGCAAAGAGTAGATAGGTAGGTAGGTAGGTGTCTGAAGGAAAAATTCCCTCTGACTGAGGGAGTGGAATGTGCTGTCAGCAAGTTTGCTGATGACACAAAACTGGGCAGAGTGGCTGACACAGCAAAAGGCTGTGCTGCCTTCCAGCGAGACCTGGAGAGTTGGGTGGGGAGAAACGGAATGAGAAAGAACAAGGGCAGGTGTGGAGTCTTGCATCTGGGCAAGAGCAACCTGAGTACCAGTATAGGTTGGGGGCTGAGCTGTTGGAGAGCAGCGTAGGAGAAAGGGATCAGGGGATCCTGGTGGGCGGTAGGAGGAGCATGAGCCAGCACTGTGCTCTCGTGGCCAAGAGGGCATCGTGGGGTGTATGAGAAAGAGTACGGACAGGAGGTGGAGAGGTGCTCTTTCCCCTCTACTCTGCCCTGATGAGTGGAGCATCTCCCTGTGAGGAAAGGCTGAGAAAGCTGGGTCTCTTTAGCTTGGAGGAGACTGAGGGGTGACCTCGTTGATGTTTATAAATGTGTGAATAGTGAGCGTGAGGAGGATGAAGGCAAGCTCTTCTCAGTGACATCCAGTGATAGGACAAGGGGCAATGTGTGCAAGCTGGAGCATAGGGGGTCCCACATAAATAAGAGGAACAACTTCTTCACGGCAAGGGTAACAGAACACTGGGATGGGCTGCCCAAAGAGGTTGTGGGATCTCCTGTGGAGACATTCAGCAGCTACCTGGACATGTTCCTGTGTGCCCTAATCTAGGTGATCCTGCCCCAGCAGGGGGATTGGACGAGGTGATCTTTGGAGGTCCCTTCCAATTCCTGACATTCTGTGATTCTGTGCAAAGTTGGTTCACGGTAGTACTTTTGCTGCTGGGAAATAGGAGCGCTGATCTTTGGGGTAAGTTCAGCAAGGTGGACTCCCCTAAGCTGATACTGACTTCATCCTATAGCGTTGACTTCTGTCGTGATTTATTCCATGCCAGAAGTTCCGGATGCTGTCAGGAGTTATTCAAGCCCATTGGTGTTAATTTGATCCTGGACTGGCTGCTGCTTGACATGCTGTCTGCACAGAGGTAACACATGCATTAATTTGTTTCCTGTCCTCTGCTGTTTTGTCTCTTGTTTTTAGTTAATGCTGAAAACCCACCTACGGCTGTGGTTGGGAAATTGGTTCACTTGCTCGATCGGACCCAGATTTTCAGGAGGAGCTGGAGCTAATGAAACTGTGTGAGGAAGCTGTGACCTTGATCCGATCTAATCAACAGCTTGAAAATGACCTCAATCTCATGGACCTCAAGATTGGACTGCTAGTGAAGAACAGAATGACACTGCAGGTAGGAAATGCAGTGCTGGGAGACGAGCAGAGTGAATTGAGGCCAATGGCAGTTAGCATGAGGACCTTCTGAGCCTGGATCTCACTTACTCAGATGCAGTGGGAAGTATTTCCCCCCGAGTTACAGGTTTTCCTCCCAGTAAGTTCCTAACTGTTCCACTTATTACTATGTATCCCTAGAAAGAGAACTGCAGCAGAAACATCAAGGCTTCAAGTGTTTTAAAAACAAAGCACCAGAAAAAAACCCACTCGGGACCAAGGGAAAGCAATAGATGGTATGCTTGAAGGCTCTGAGAACTGTTTGTCTCTTCACTTGTGGTTACGTGAGTCATGGACTTGCACACCTTAATTTCTTCTCACGTTTTGTGTGCTGTATCAGAGGGGGAGGTGATTTTGGAGCAGGAAATGTGCTCAGACTGCTTGGTGTTGGTTGGCTGATGGAAGCCCCCTCTGTCACGTTGCTGACGATTGATTGCACACAAGAACAACGTTGCTGATACAGCGGTGCCTTTTTTTAACTCAAGCTGAAGTTACAGTCACCTTTTCCTTTGGTCCTGAATAGCGTGGCGCTAGGCTTGACCTTGTGTAAAATCTGAACCATGGCAGCAGTGAAGTTCAGTTCCAAAGGAGGCTCCAGCTCTTGGGCTGATGCTGGCAGCAAAAAGTATCATAGTTATCAGAGCAGTGGAGGCAGGGAGTCAGCAAAATGGAAACAGGGCTTGGGGCTTCAAGCACAGTTGAGAAAGAAAGGCATTTTCAAGCATCTTCAGAACGCTACCAGCTGTGACAGTAGTCCCTGCTCAAAGCAATTAGTCCTTGTAGGTTCTCACCCAATTCTGGAATGTGGGGACAAGACAGAAATCGCTGCTACAACAGATAATGTTTCACTTCATGATCTCCTGATGTACCTTGACTGCCTTATCCACCCAAAAGGAAGTGCTATCGTGCAGCTTTTTCCCATATTGCGTGTTATTTAAATGTGGAATCTGTCCCTCTGTGTTCTTTGCAGGATGTTGTTTCTCATAGCAAAAATCTTAGCAAGGAGAACAAGGAACAGCTCTGTGACGTGATGACGCTGAACGAGCAAAAGGGAGGTTTGCAAGCTTTGAGCAAAGAGGAGAGGGAAAAGCTGGAAGCCTATCAGCATCTTTTCTACTTGAGGTATGCAGCTTTTCATTCACTGCTCTTGTCATAGATGCTTACGTGTATTGGAACAGTCTGTGCTTCTGCACTGCAGTGTTGAGGCGCTGTCTGTCTTTGTGGTGTTGGCTTTTGTGGACACGTGCTGTATGGGAACTGCTGAGTCATGGCCTGAACCTCTGATTGATCACCTGAGGCGAGCAGTGAGTCAGGCAGAGGAGCACAGGTGAAGGCAATGCAGCTGTGCTGCTGGAAGGGGTGCAGCCAGGCTACAGCCCTCCTAGACCTGTTTAAGAGCTGGCTACCAGTGGGGAAGGATCTCGTCTGCAGATCTGCTCTGCTGGAGTTTTGTAAGTGAGCCCAGGATAGGGGTAAGCCTTCTATTTATTCTCCTTTTGTTAGCTTAGTCTGCTTT